AGAAAACTGAATTATCTACTAAAGGACTAGCTTATTTTCTTTGTTAATAGGGGCTCAGGCATTTCCAATAGTTGGTATAGCAGAAATAAGCTTGCTTTCAATACCATGGTCTTGTTTAGTGACTATTGCTGGGCAGAAACCTGTTCGAGATGGTTAGTTATTCTGGCATGGTTACATTTCTTCCCCTAGAGCACAGAAAGTATGGAATTTGTATCACATCTGTGGACTAATCTGTCAAATTGTTTCTAGAGCCATATGCATAACAAAGCTACTGTTACTTACTAGAAGATTATTAGAGCCATGCTTGGAGCAAGTCTATTAGTAACGATCATTTGGGAAAGTGCTAGTGGGAGACATTATATAAAAAGTAGCACATGCAAAGCATATATACAAACAAACAAAAACATATACAAATAAAAAATATGTGCCTTGAGACTTGTCACAAACAATGTATTCTGCTCTGAGCCTAGCATGGTTTGACGTGTCCGGGTTCCTAAGAAAGAAACAGAAAGTTGCCTTTCTCATTTTGCATGCAGTACCAGCAAAAATCTATAACTGATATGAGATAATTCATTTGAGCAGCCTTCCTTTTTCAAGATAAGAAGAGATGTCTTCCTGATCATGAATTATGATGTTTGTAAGCCTGGCTTATGGAACTGCCCTTTACTTTGAGGGTTGTTGTGCAATTTGAAATTGTCTTCTGACCATATGGTGAGCAAAAGTCCAGCCACACCCTACCCTTTAAGGAATGCACCCCTTCCCTTAACACCACAATTTCTGTGTTGCCAAAGAGCCATGGGAAGAACAGTGAAGTGCCCAGCTCTTTTTTTTCCTCCAGTTGGATGTCCCATTCATCCTTCTGCCTCATCCTCAAGGACCATAAGTGAGGCACTGCCCAGCTTATAAGGAAGGTTGAGGGGAATTCTGAATCATAGCAATTTCTCAAATACTTTCTTGATAAAAAGATGGGATATAAATTTGATCGACAGATCAGTGGGTATATAGATGACAAGAACACATTGCATCTCATCTTGGGTCAAAGATGATCTACTAGACACGTGAAATGAAATCTCCACATATCCTGATTCACCATCGTAGCCTATGTCTCTTACCTGAGGGCTTGTCAGATTCTAATATTTTATTTTGTATTTTGTTAAAACAAAGGGAGATTGGTTCCATTTGGCTTGCCTTTTGAGTTTTACAAACAGCTAAAGGAAATAGAATGAATCAATATATAGGCTTCCATTCATATCTCCATTAATTCCTATCAGCCAATTTGGTCAGGGTTTCATAATCTCTTGAAATCTTGTGTTGAACACTTGCTAGCAAAACTATATTATTGAAAGTTGAACTACAGTACTAAGACAGTGTGATTCAGAATTGCACAGATTGCTATTGCAGTTATTCTACCCAGGTACTATAATGAGCAAAATCACAGTTGTGTTGCAAACCCACCATAAAAATAAGGTTGTTGCAAGTCTGTTCATGCAGCATTACATCAGTGTTAAAGGGATTTCATCACATTTTGCATTTTTACAGAGTGGTTATATAACATAGTTGAATATGTTAAGGACCCTTTTCTGATTATTGTTTACAATTTTTCTGTTTTCATCAAAGTGCTCTAACTCAAAAAGACTATGATAAGCAACTGCTGTTAAATTAGTTTGCATTTAGAAGGCTTTTGATCATTTTATGACTTTGGCTGTGTTTTATTCTGTTTGCTTTTTGATAAGCAAGTTAATACTGATTTAAGCAGCCCTTCATACAGGGACAATCACTAGAATTGATTTAGTCTGAGTTACAGATTCTAGGCAAATTATTCTCTTTACCATATTTAATTGCTGACTTTAACATATAGACAATTGTTTCAACAATGTGTGTCACACTCTAAACTTATTTTTAAAGTTTACCTGTGAAATGAGGCTAAGACATTAATCTTGTAATAAATGCAACAAATCTACCTATTAATTTTTTGTATTTGTGTGTGTAAAGAAAGGAGAATCTTCACTGAAAAAAGATCTGTAAAACCTCTATTTAATTGTTAAATGAAACTACTTCAATCAGGATTTGATTCAAATTTATAAAATGGAGCTTTCTGCTAAGGACTGAAAATGTCACAAGTATTCAATATGTCTCAATTCTATTTGTGAAGTATAATATACACACAGCAAAGCTATGCTTTAGATATTATTCTGTATTTTTAAGAATCAATGTTTGGGTGGAGTGGATTTTTGTGCCTCTTCAACCTTGATACATATGCCCTAGGGAAGCTATCTGATTTTAGAGAACAAGATTTTGACATACTTCAGTTTACTCCAGTCACTAGTTTAAATATTGCTTTTGCTCTTTCACTTTTGAACAATAACCATAGAGGTCTTACAAGATGTACATATCAAGAAAAAGCGAGTAAAAGTTTGAACGTGGAAAAGCAGTGGAATTATGTGAAATTCTGTGAGCATTTCATGTTTGTTCTGAATTTTTATCTTTATTGCTATATTGTTTAAATGATTTGATACTATTTTGAATTATAAATGTTTTATGTGACAGTTAATTTACTGTATTTGTATTGTAACATTTCTATCATCAGATCAGATGTTTCATTGTACAGTGCAATTTCTTTATCCACGCACTGTGCTCTAGTGAGCACTTGGGGCTCTGAGAGAGCTGCTCAGGGGCTCTGCAGGCCCCCTACTTCCTTTTGCGTTCCTGCTATTCTTCTTCTTCTTCTTCTTCTTCTTCTTCTTCTTCTTCTTCTTCTTCTTCTTCTTCTTCTTCTTCTTCTTCTTCTTCTAAAGGCTGGATGGCCATCTGTTGAGATGCTTTGATTGTGTTTTTCCTGCATGACATAAAGGGGTTGGAGGGTTGGACTGGATGGCCCCTGGGTCTTCCACTAAAATACTGTTAAGTTTATATTGGTTAAAATTGTTCTTCATTTTATTTTTATTTTTTGTTCTGCAAGAATTAGTTCACACAAACACTCTCCATCTATCTGCCACTGGCCTTGCCCATGCCTGATATATATATATAGATATATACATTATATATAATAATACAATATAATATAATAACATTTCTTGGGGCTCCACAAGAAACTTTTGCTTCAAAAGGGCTCCACGGCTGAAAAGGTTTGCAAACCCCTGTTCTATGGCATGCTTTCAGGCCAAGTATAATAAGTGAAATTGGATATTGAATCTCTGAATAAGAGAGTCTTCCTGTATTAAACCCCCCCCCCCCCCCGCTCACCCCCCACACACACCTGTATAACTGTGAGTCTGTTAAAGTTCAATTTCTATCAGTTGTGCACAATTGTATCCTGAATCTGAAGACTACTGATGAACAGTCCCTTTCAAATCATTCCATGGACTCTAAATGAGTCTCTTGTCTGGGTCATTCCAAGAAACTCATTTTCTTGTTTTTAAATACTGCAGTGGGATACATCGGAACTTGTTTAGGCATTTCACTACAAACATTGTGAATAATTATATAACCAAGGAGGGCCTTTTATTTTGTTAATTTAACTTTTATATTAAAAGGTATATCTCACGCTTAGTGTCTTCCATACATCAAGTGGTAACAATTCCAAATGAATTTATTTCAGTACTGTTCAGGATAACATTACAACATTCTTTAACATATAGACAATTGTTTCAGCAATGTGTATCACAATCTGAACTTATTTTTAAAGTGTACCTGTGAAATGAGTTTCTTGGTTGGACTGGATGGCCCACGAGGTCTCTTCCAACTCTATGAATCCATGAAAATGGTTTTTCATAATTTCAAACTATTTTAACCAATTTTAATCTGTCTGTTAAACTTGTTAAGTTATTTAATATGTGTTCAGCCTTTTTAAATGGTGTTATTGCCAATGTTGTTTTACATTAGTCACATTGGTTTTGTGGTACACTGTCCTGACATCCTAAGGAAGAAGGCAGGATATGAATGCTTAAATAAGTAAAGTGGGTGGATGTGAATATTTTTGCACAGCATTATATATGGTAGTGAGTCAGGAATGGAAGTAATTTTGTTAACTCTTTAGACATTAAAATTCAAAGACACAGCCACATTACTCTTGATCAATATGCAAAGAGACAGAAAGAAGTTGATAGCATAAGCGTACTTCATCAGGTGCAAGTAGCTGTAAAGTTACTAATAATCATCATCACTTTATTTCTTACAATGCTAAAACCACACAACCATCTAAAAACATTCTACAAATGCACATATTAAAACAGATTTCTACAAATTACATATTAAAATACAAAGAACAAAGATTAAAAACGAGATTCAAGTTTAAAATTTGTGATTAAAACTGGCTGGGTAGGTCTGCTGGAAGAGATAGGTCTTTAGATGATTTTTCAATTCCAACTGCATATTTAGCTGTCAGATCTCTTCAGACAGGTTGTTCCACACTCTTGGGGTGGCCGATGAAAAGATCCTCAGGGTTGCCAATCAGGTTCTGGCTGGTTGGAGTAACCACCCCCCAGACGACCTAAGTTTTTACGGTGGATTGTATAGTAGAAAGTGGTCCTACCTGGACCCAAATCATGTAGGGCTTCAAAGGTCAAAACCCACACTTTGTATTTGCCCAGAAAATAATTGGCAGCCAATAGAGTGACTTTAGTATAAGTGTAATATATTCATTCCTGGATGTTCCTGTAACCAATCTGGCTGCCACATTTTGAAGCAACTGGAGTTTCCAAACTTGATACAAAGGTAGCCCAATGAAAAGTGCATTGCAGAAGTCCAACCTTGAGGTTATCAGGCATGAACTACCATCTTTAAATCCTACAAATCTAGGAAGGGGTGCAGCTGTCACGTATTAGCCGAAGCTGATAATAAGGTTAACTATTAAAGATACTATTAGGACTCTAATTATATAGAAGTGTTCAATATCTGTCAGTTGGCATTTTTATAATCATTTGTTGCTTTTGTGCATTACTTATGCATCCTTATCACAGCATGTTCTTCCCAAATGATATATTTTTCTCTTTAATTTTCAGGAACAGGTACTTTTGGGCGGGTTCATCTGGTAAAAGAGAAATCAGCCAAAACCTACTTCGCGTTGAAAGTAATGAGCATTCCAGATGTCATTCGACTAAAACAAGAACAACATGTGCACAATGAAAAATCGGTCTTGAAAGAAGTGAATCATCCATTTCTGATCAGATTGTAAGCTTCACTAATTTCAGTTTTTGTATTTTAATGTTCAATTCTAACATTAAGTTACTTGTTAGTAAGAACTAATCCAGACATCTTTGGGTGGCAAAAAACCCCAAACCATTTAATGTGGAGATATGTAAATCTATAGTCCTTTCACATGACATAATTGTAGCACTATGATTCCACTTTAACTGTAACACTCCATCCTTTGTAATTCTTAGATTGACAATTAAAAAAAAATTGGAATTCTGAGCCAGAGAGATTTGATGCCACATCCAACTACTTTTACATCAAGGGTCCAACAAGGACCATTGAAATTAAAGTAGAATCATAGTGCTATAACTGTGTTTGTTGTGTGAAAGAGTCCCTGGTCAAGATGTTTCTGAGTTCATATAATGAAGGTGTCCCTGAATTTTCTTTTCTCAACTTCATTTCTTCTCCCAGGTTATGTTTTATGTCTTCTCATGATATTTGTCATGAATCTTGAGTTACCAAACCATAAATGTAAGGCTTCCTTCCATTTATGGAAGAGTTCCCAACAGAGGATTTTATTGCTGACAAAAAGAGAAAGAAAGTGAGTTTTGCTCATTTTCTCTGCCTCTGCTGTTGACATCCACACTGCCCCATCCTTCTGAAGATTTAATATTATCAGAGTGAAATACAGAAGGGATTGGTAAAAACTTTCTTTTTTCCTCAACATACTGATGGAGTTCTAATTTGATATAATTTGATATAAAACCATGGTGGTTTTAATTTCCAACCGTATTTTAAAAAATAACATTGTAGTTTTTTCATTCTATTTTTTAAAGCAGAGAATGGAAACTCTCATGAACTTGTGTAAATTTGACATTTTTTTCAAAACTTATATTTTTATTTTGAGTTACGCATAACCATATTTTTCCAAGTGATAAATAGAGCCATCTTGTGTAAAGGTTGGCAGTAGTATTTACTGAGAAGGAATAGATATTGGATGCTTTCCCTCTGAAAACTATGGTTATTAATTGCCATTGGCCTTTTAAAGTATCAGCTGTTATACTTGCTAGTGGGTCCTCTTTCTACTGATTGTAACTGTGTGAAATTTATTCCTATGTATGTCTAGGGGTTGTTTCAGCTATCTTGTGGTAATGGATGATGAAATATATACCGCCGGAAATGTCAGAATTTTGCAAGTTTATGTAGACAAAAACAGAGGGGTGCAGGTACATATTGCAAAATAAATTTCAACATATAACATGATTGCAGTCTAATATTGTGAAGAAAAGCTAAGACAGGCAAGCACAGTAATAAAACCACTACTTATAGGAGCAGTAAAGAAATATGTATGCAGAATTTCAAATTTGAAATACAGTGATAGCTTGACTTAAGAGTTCAAGTCGTTCTGTGACTGAGCTCTTAACTCAAAATGCTCTTATCTCAAAACAAAATTGCCCATGGAAACACTATTCATCCATTCCAGCCCCCCCAAAAACCCTCCCATTTTTGTTATGTGTTTTTAAAATAAAAATGTACTTTATAAATAACAAATAATGTATAAATGCATATTCACGTGGAACAAAAAAAGATCAATTTTGAAATGGTAAAGGCACAAAGTGGTGGCAAAGAAACACATTTGAGGCAACAAAATGTGTGTTGGCCAGTGTAACAGCAAGGCAAACCTGCACATTGACATGGAACAATAAAGAAAGAATGATTAATTTTGAAATGGTAGAAGCACAAAGTTGTAGCACAATGGTAGAAGTGCAAAGTTGTGGCAAGGAAGCAAAAAGCTAAGAGGCAAAAGCATCATTTTCGTTCTAGTGTACGCATTCCAGCCTCCCTCCTTCTCTTGCCCTCTCTCCCCTTTTCTTCGTGAAGCTAAACATACCAGGAATAAAAACACACACAAAATTAACTAACCCAAACCTTGAAGTGGATAAGAGCAAAGCAGACAGTAATCTCCTTAAGCAGACAAGAGCATGAGGCACAGAGGCTGTTCCGTTGAAGCCCTAAAGCGCTGAATGCTTGTGCTAGCTCTCCCTCTCATGCTAGTTCTTAAGTCAAATGCTACTCTTATGTCAAAGCAAAACAGGTCCAAGCAACTGCTCTTAACTCAAAATGCTCTTAAGTTGGGACACTACTCCAAAATCTAAAATTGTATATTTCAGTGGCTGAGATAGAGACACCTTTGCTTTGTGATGGTTCTATGTACATGAATATTAAAAGGATTATGTAAAATTATCTTCAGGTTACTGAAGTAACACCATGAAATAAGAGACAAGATAACAAAATATGGAACAAAGAGCCATTTACTAACCTATTTAAACTAACCTGGAGGAAGGAACAAAAATCTAGGTCACAATGGAGGCCAGATATCACACAGTGACTACTTCCTTGTCCACTTCTGGGTAAACACCTGGCTTAATGGCTTACTGGCCTGGATGGTCATTACTGGAAGGCCATTCCAGGGGCACTCCCTCCCAAGCCCCAAAACTCTATAAGAGAAAGCAGAAACCCCTTGGTCTAGCCCCAAGAGAAAAAAAAATCCCAAGATGCCCCCAAGTCCCAAAACTTGGAACAACCCTAGTATCCCCCTTCATCCCCATATAGAGTGTGCCAAGGTGAACACCAACAAGGTTCTTCCCCCAGATCCTGCCACTGGAAACTTAATTAGTAGCACCACCCAATCAAACTCCTTCTTCCGACGACACAATATGCGGTAGGAAGAAAAAACCCTCTCTTTAGGAGCGGGAAAAATTCCTACCCAGCCCCCTAAGGCAACTAGCATTCAGTCATAATGAGGCTTGAGTGGCTTGGAGGAGAGCACGGCTGGGAGAGATACAGCTATAAGCAACAGTCAGCTTGCACAAAGTCTGGGATCCTCTGAATAAAACACCACTGGCTCGAAACCCAGCCACTCCTGACTCCAAACCCTGTACAGGGAGCTTGATGACATGACCCTCTTCTGTGCTCACTGGATGAAGAACTGAAGCAGGTGGGAGGGGCAAACTACTTAACCTTCTGCCCAGGTCCCTCCCTCCTGCCAAGACTGGTATAAAACGCCAGTCAATATATTAATATTGGTCTCTTCACGGGGGCTGCAATTGCTTGCCCCAGTCAAATCCTTTTGGTGCTGGCAAGACTTGTATAGACTTATCTAAAACAGAAATAAATGTTGTGTTCCAACACATGTCCCAACTCAGGTATATCATTATATATGCAAGTACAGGTATTTCAGAATCCAAAAATATAAATAGTATTCAAGCCACTTCTGATTCCAAGCATTTCCAGTATGTGATATTTAAATTGTAATGGAACAAAATCCTAAGATAGAACCATAGAATGATAAAGCTGTAAGAGACAACAAGGCCCATCCAGTCCAGTCCTTGGCCGTGCAGGAACACAGAATCAAACCACCCCTGATAGGTAGCTATCCAGCTTAGATATTGCTTCCTCCCTTGTTGTGGAATATACAAAGCTTTGTCTATAATAACACCTGAGCATGGTGTGTTCTGCATTAGGATGTCTATGCTGCTACCACCTGGATCTAATGCACCTTGCATCACTGAATAACATTGTACAAGACAATCCCTTATTTTCATCAGATTTTGCAATTCCATGAGACTGTTAATTATATAACAGATCCATTATTTTGTCTCTACAGTATGCATGAAATAAATATTCAAGAAATGCTTAACATTTGATTCAATATTTATCAATGGAGGTTGTTCTTGCTGATCATTGAAAGGCATTTCTAGTTTCTTTCTTGGAGAGATCCTTCTAAGCAACCTTCTTCGTCTCTCTTCAGTCTGTTTCATCTAATCACCTTATCTGTGTTGCCAAACTAAAAAGACCTCAAGAAACAACTCATTATGTGTTGTGGCTGACTCGGGCAGTGCAGATGTTTAAGATAATGCTTCATGTGTCTGTTTGTGCAAGATGCAGTTCTTATATTGGGGTTTGCACACATGGATAAACTATTGTAAGAACTTTCAACATTTGAACATTTGCCATGCATGTGGTCCTATGCTACACATTCAGAATGACTATGATAAGTTTTGTTAGATATTTATATTTCATATACTAATTGTTTATATTTACATAGCTTTTTCTCTTAGCATTTTAATTTGTGTATTTCTTTCATTCCAGATTTTGGACTTACCATGATGAACGCTTTCTATATATGTTGATGGAATATGTACCTGGGGGTGAACTTTTTAGTTATCTGCGCAACATGGGACGCTTTAATAACAGCACTGGACTGTTTTATTCTGCAGAAATTATTTGTGCAATAGAATATCTCCATTCAAAGGAAATTGTTTACAGAGACTTAAAGCCTGAAAATATTTTATTGGACAAAGAGGGGCATATCAAACTCACAGACTTTGGATTTGCTAAAAAACTGGTTGATAGGTAAGTTCTTTTATCCTCGCTTTTTTAATACTGTTGGTTGGGAGAATGATGGGGAGATGTTATAAGGTGAAATATGCAGCTATTTCTCTTAATATTGAAGTGGAATAGCACTCTTGATTTTAACTCTTCAGTTAATTATATACAGATTCCCAATCAGGAGTGTGCAGCTTCAGTAGGAACAGGGCTACTTTTGAAAATAGCCAAAACCAGATGCCATTGGTGGTTTGATTTCTGGTGTATGTGTTGTAAAATGCATTAAAATAGCATATATGTGTGTATGTGTGTGTGTGTGTGTGTGTGAGAGAGAGAGAGAGAGAGAGCTTACATTAATTCAAAATTAATTGCAGAATTATAGTTAATTTCAACAAAATTCCCCTACTCAATCTTTATAAATTATGGTAAAATATATGTTTATATTTAAATGGCAATGCCGTTTTTGTTATGATAATGAATGTAGTGGTTTTTTCTTGTTGTCATTGGTTGCAGTGCATAGGTTGCAAAGTTTTGGCACCTGATCGTGGTGTCATTAAGAAAGAATAACAATTGGGGAAGCATTCATTGAAGATTGTATATACATCGGAATCTGAATTTTATCCACCACAGTTTTAAATAAATAAACAATTGATTTATACATTTAGAGGTTTGTATTATGCTCTGCAAAGACAACAGCATAAGGGAAATTGACACAATATAGTTAATAAAACATTTGGTAACATTAAAGTAAGCATTCTTTTAAATCATATAAGAGACTAGCTGTCCCCTGCCACACGTTGCTATGGCCTAGTCTGCTGATCTGTATAATAAAGTAAAGAGAATGTGTTGGTTTCTAATATATGTAATTTATTTATGCTTGTGGATAAACAGCATTTCTTGTTTCTTCATCAGTGTTGATGTGGAGATGATGTGGTTTGCCTACTCTGGAAAATGCAAAATATAATTGTCCTTCTCTAGGGGTCCCTTTCAAATCTAGGATACTATATATATGTGTGTGTGTGTGAATCATCTATCTATATCTGTGGCTGGATGGCTCTTTGTCAGGAGGGCTTTGATTAGGTTTTCTTGCCCTGGTGAAGAGAGTTGGACTGGATGGCCTTGAGTATTTTCTGTTGGTCATGCGAGTTCTGTGTGGGAAGTTTGCCCCAACTCTGGCGTTCATGGGGTTCAAAATGCTCTTTGATTGTAGGTGAACTGTAAATCCCAGTAACTACTACCCACAAATGTCAAGGTCTATTTCCCCCAAACTCCATCTGTGTTTATCTTGGGCATATTGAGTATTTGTGCCAAGTTTGGTTCAGATCCATCATTGTTTGAGTCCACAGTGCTCTCTAGATGTAGGTGAACTAAAACTCCAAAACCCAAGGTCAATGCCCACCAAACCCTTCTAGTGTTTTCTGTTGGTCAGGGGAGTCCTGTGTGCCAAGTTTGGTTCAATTCCATCGTTGGTGGAGTTCAGAATGCTCTTTGATTATAGGTGAACTATAAATCCCAGTAACTACAACTCCCAAATGACAAAATCATTTTTTGAGCAATGGTCATTCCTTGTGTAGTGAGATGTTTTGTTGCCAAATTTGGTGTGATTTCATTCATTGGTTTTTGTTTTTTGTTTGTTTTTAAGGTACTCATTATGCACAGAGCATTTTATATATATAGATTAAACATTATTTTAAAAGACTGGGAGGGAAAATCTAGTTTTGCCTAATACCAGATGACAATGATAAATTTATTTATCATTTGAATGGTAAGGAGACTTTGTGGACACCTTGTATCATTTCTCTTTTTCCCCCCAACACTGGGAATCAAGGCAGTTTACAAAAATTGAAACAAAAACAAATTACATAGAACAATTTCAGTGAAAGCATATATAAGATATTTTTAAAACACAATTAAACAGTCTATAGAATTGAAACTATTTAAACATCTATTAAAAGAACAAAATAAGCAATAACTAACCCCAATAAAAACTCATTGCAGACACTTCAATTGCTGGTGGAATGAAAGCAAGGAGGGAGGTCTTGGTTTTAGCATTCATTGAAATGCAATCCACTGAAACTATTTTGGTTTCTAATGGCAGAATGTGATATGGATGCTTTATCTTTGATTTTAGTGTCTGGTAACACTTTCACAAGCACCAGCAGTTGGTAGAGTTGCTCTTTTCATTTATTTTATAGAGATACAAGGGTGGGTGCTTTATTAAATATATATCTTTTGTCAAATGGCACAATAAAGGTGGTGCAATAATATAAACACACAAGGGACAGATTCTAAACATGCCAAGCAATGACTGTGCAGTTATGTTGTTGTTGTTGTTGTTTTTATGCAAAACGCAGGACCTCCTTATAGGAACACCTGAGGCACTCCCAAGTGGCCAGCTACTAGTCAAAGGACATGTAATATAATGCCAAGTTTTTAAACTTTGTGTTTTTAAAATACATTACAACTGTACCCTTGGTTTGCTTCTGATATGATGATGATGATGATGATGATGATGATGATGATGATGATGATTACTACTACTACTACTACCAAAAATTGGGAAAGGAGTTTGCAGTTTAAAAGAACAATGCAATTAAAAACAAACAAAAAGCAAGTTTGGTGGGTGGGGATGCAAGATCCTGATGATCTCAGAACCTAAGTTTTCTCATTGGCTGCAGTGCAATTAGTAGGGAGATGTGTTCTGCCATGTTGTCTGGACTTGAACTATATAGGGCTTTATGAATAGGTATAGTTGTACCCTGTGCTTGATTGAGGCTTTAATATCACTTTGTAGCAGTAAGTTTTTAAGATGGAAGAGACTGACGTGGCTACAGCTTTGATATCTCCTATTAAAATGTTCAGGCATTTCATAGGAGATGTACTACTCAAATTGCTAACTGTATTTTAAACTCAATTCAGAAATAATGTATTAGTTTTCTTAACGTTTACTCAGAAAATAGCAGCTTCCATTGAGGGATTCCCTTAAGATAAGAGCTAGGAAGGAAAGTTGTAAATGTCACATCTCTGCCTGTGATCCTGTTTACTGTTTGCTTTCTAGAAGCTTTCCCATTTCTTTAATATTAGTTATCTTCATTGATGCCTTAGATGTACTTACTATTTGCTCTCAAAACATAATTTTGAGAACAGACTTGTAAATTCAAACTGTCCCACTCCAATTTAGTTAAGATTTCATTAAGGAACAAACCACAATTTTTTTGGGGGGGCGGGAGGAGATGATCATTGTGTCCCATATGGGCAAAGTTTAGCAGTTTCCCCAAAAATATAATAATGTCAGGGTAGATGGTATGACTGACTAGTCAGTTGGGGAGGAGGATTCAGCTTCTCAGTTCCAGACAGTTGCCCACTCCTGCAACAGAGTATATGGCTTGGAGCAAAACTGATAGACTAAGCACTGGTGGTCAGGCACACAATGAATCAGTTTCTATATTCCAAACTGAACAATTTGTGGAAAAAATTGAAACATTGTTCTTTCTGTGTTCAGTGTTCAGACAAGCATATTTTAGTCTTAACATAAAGAAACTGCAGCTAGAGACCTCCAGATTCGTTCCATGACATTGGCTTTTAATTCTGTTCTTATTGATGCTGTTTAATGTGTTTTTATTGGTCTTTTATGTTATTGCTTTATATGATTGAATGTTTTATACTAATTATTTGTGTTACCTAATGTATTGTATCGTATGGCATTGAATATTTGCCATTTAATGTTGTAAGGTGTACTGCGTCCCCACAGGGAGATGGGGTGGGGCATAAATAAAGTTTGTTGTTCTTGTTTGTTTTTTTTCTGGAGACATTGTCAGTGAGGGTGAACATTACTGGATTCAATAGAATGTTTGTTTTATTCTGAATTGCTTGTTTCTGGATACTCAAAAGCTATCTATGATAATGAATGGTAAAGTAGCAAAAAAAGTTTAAATTCAGCAAAAAAGTTTAAATTTAGCTGTGTTACTCTTTTCAGAAAACCTCATGTATATTGGTAATAAGTGATTATATGTCCCAACAAAAAGCTAAACCCAAATTGTAGAAAATAAATATCTTACTCCAGCATTCACATTCAAAATACTTATTTTGTGGTCTACCATTTCTTAATACTGAACAAAATCATATTTATTATAATTTGTGAGCAGCCATAAGATTGTTCTGAACAAATAATGACAGCGCATGACGGAGACATATTTCTCTGTGATTTTAAAGTAAGTTAAGTACTATATACTAGCTGTCCCCCTGCCACGCGTTGCTGTGGCCCAGTCTGTTGATCTGGAAAATAAGGTAATGAGAAAGTGTTGATTTCTAAAATATGTAATTTCTTTATGCTTGTGGGTAAACAGTATTTCTTGCTGTTTCTTTGTCAGTGTTGATGTGGAGAGTGTCTGGTTTGCCCACCCGGGAACATGCAACATATCATTGTCCTTCTTTAAGGATCTCTTTCAAATCTATGATACTATATCTCTCTGTGTGTGAATCATATCTATCTATCTATCTATCTATCTATCTATCTATCTATCTATCTATCTATCTATCTATATCTATGGCTGGATGGCTCTTTATCAGGAGGACTTTGATTACGTTTTCTTGCCCTGATGAATGGAGTTGGACTGGATGGCCTTCAGTATTTTCTGTTGGTCATGGGGGTTCTGTGTGGGAAGTATGCTCCGATTCTGTCGTTCATGGGGTTCAGAATGCTCTTTGATTGTAGGTGAACTATAAATCCCAGTAACTACAACTCCCAAATGTCAAGGTCTATTTCCCCCAAACTCCATCTGTGTTCATATTTGGGCGTATTGAGTGCTTGCCAAGTTTGGTCCAGATCCATCATTGTTTGAGTCCACAGTGCTCTCTGGATGTAGGTGAACTACAACTCCCAAACTCAAGGTCAATGCCCACCAAACCCTTCCAGTATTTTCTGTTGGTCATGGGAGTTCTGTGTGCCAAGTTTGGTTCAGTTCCATCATTGGTGGAGCCCAGAATGCTCTTTGATTGTAGGTGAACTATAAATCCCAGCAACTACA